AAAAAGTAGATAAACTTGACTAGAAGAGTTAATTGTCTGAGAGGGCAAACCTTCAGGAGAGAGACATACCCAGGGATTCTCTGCTCTCCCAATCCTTTGCCCTTGTTGGCCACAGCCTCTGGTTTCAGTGACCTTGGTTCTGAAAAACTCTGAACATGTCCTGGCTGGGACTGTCCACTGATGATAGTAATAGGGACCATTTACTGATGTTGAGTAGCACAAATGGTGCTGCCATTACTTTGTCTTGATATTTTAGCTCAGTTGCTTCAGCCTACCTAATGTCCACCCCTCATGCACTAGAACAAACTCATTTCCTTTCCCAATTCTTGCCACAAATTTTGCCACATTTTCAAAGGGGAGAGCGGGGAGTAGGGTGAATAGGTGGAGCAGATGCTGGTGGGTGGGCAGTAAAGTACTTGGAACTGGGGTGTGTGGGGGGGTGCACAGGGGGCATACAAGAGTCACGATTCCTTAGTTCAGGATGAGCTGTGACTACAGCCATGAAACTCAGCCAGCACATGTTAGTCACTCTTTGCTGTCACGACTTAAATCTCTTCTGCTTCTCATCAAATTACACACTGCCATTGAATTATTTAATAGGATCCAGTTCCAGGGTGGGGAGTTTGTGAGTTGGTAGGGGGAAAGAGGACCTGAGGTTCATAAGTAACTGGGTTGTAGGTAAGCTAGACATTGATAACCTGGGGGCTTCCATGGGAGTAGTTTACCCCTATAGTTAATTTTATTCCTACTTTTTTTCTTTTAGATGCTGTTGGTAAATGGTGTGGCCTTCTTTTTAAATTCTTCATTAGTGGTGTGTAGAAATCGTTGTGTTTTGTTTTGATTTTTGTGCCTTGCAATTTTCAGAAATTGTTTAAAAGAGCTCTGATGGCATAATGGGTTCCAGATTGGGCTGTTAACTGCAAAGTCAACAGTTGGACACCACCAGCCACTCTGAAGAAGAAAGCTAAAGCTTGGCATCAGGAAAGATTTATAGCCTCTGAAACCCACAGGGGCAGTTTAACCCTGTCCTGTAGGTTCACTATGAGTTAGAATCGATAGCATTGAAAGGGTTTTATTTGTTCGTTTGTTTGGGGGTTTTGTTTTTTTTTTTTGCTTGGTTTTTGCTTTCTTAGGAATTTTATACATATTGGATCATTCATCTGAATAGGAAACACTGCTTTTTGTTTCTAGTTTGTTACTGCCCGAATACTGGTTAGAACTTGGAGTGTCAAATTGAATAAACGTGGGAAAAGAAGCATCCTTGCCTTGTTTCTGATCATAGGGAACATTTTTTAAAGCTTTGACCCTCAAAATCATGTTTTTAATAAATGCCTCTTTTTCCTCAATTATGAAGGTTTTTTTGTGAAAGGATACTGCGATTTTTTTCATATACTTTTTTCTGTGCAATTGACATAGTCATGTGGGATTTTCTACCTTGTTCTCTAGGGGTAAGTTGGAAAGTTGTTTTTTTTTTTAAGTTGGAAAGTATTGCTATAAACCTGCCTAGCAAGATTTGGAGCTGTTGTTTCTTGATACAGCCTCTATGCTTATATACTTTTGAAGGTGATAATTTCTATATCTCTGACTCTTCTCCAAAGAATTCTGTACTCTGATTTACCCCATAACAAAATGACACTTTGGGCATCTTCAGAACCTTTTCAGGGTTCTTTGAGTTGCCCAAACAGAAGTCTTTGAAGGGTCAAGATCAGGGCTTTAGGGTGAATTGGGTCTAGAACAACCCTTGTTACCTTTGGAGACTCAGCAGGTATGATAGGGAAAATATCTTGGTGTTATTTCCTGGCCTTTTATTCTTGGGTTGGGTTTCCCTTTTTTTAACCATGACTTCCTAATAAGCCCCCGTAATCACCCTGTGTTCTTTGAAAAATGTTATCAAGATGACCCATTTGGGATCCCTCACAAAACTGTTGCTGTAACCTGAGCTGACTTCTCTGTCCTGAATTTAACTGTTCCCAGCACACCCCTATAAGCCACAGTTTGAGGGGAACCACTTTTTTTAAGGTACCTTAATATGGCTGAGGCAAGTGCATTGTAGGGAAACTTGTCTGCAACCAACCACTGATCACAGAGACTTGTCTAAACATATTTGCTCAGAATAAACCTATGCATGTATGAACTAGAGCCCTAGTAACAATACCTTTTGGCTTTCCTTCTTATATAATGTCTCGCATTTGTGTTTTAGTTACGTAGTGCTGCTGTATGTAATACAAAAACGACACCTGTTGTTAGGTGTCATCGAGTTGGTTCCAACTCTATGCACAACGGAAGGTCCTGCATCCAATTGTTCCTGTGCTTGAGCCTTCCTCTTTTTCGCTGCCCCTCTACTTTACCAAGCATGATGTTCTTCGGGGACTGGTCTCTCCTGACAATATGTCCAAAAGATATAAGATGAAGTCTCACCTGCCTTGCCTGTAAGGAGCCCTGTGGCTGTATTCTACATGTTGAGTGGTTTATAAAACAGAAATGTATTCTCTCATAGTTTGGGAGACTTAGGTCCAAATCAGGGTCACAGCTATGTTGGTTCTTTCATTGTCCATAGCCCTTGTTCCTTATGGCAAATATGGCATTTGTCTTCTGCATATATGTCTGTGTCTAGATAATGGCTCATGTTAGAACTCCATAACCTTGGTTACACAGTGGTTAAAAGCTCAGCTGTTACCTGAAAAATTGGCGATTCAACTGCTCTATAGGAGAACAGTGTGATCGTCTGCTTCTATAAAGACTACAACCTTGAACTATTGAACAATTCTTTGTTTTAAAGAGACTCTCAAAGTTAGGATTGACTCCATAATCATGACAGTTTTAGAACTTGGAACTGACTAGATTCAGAAGCCCTTCTGCAGGGATGACTTTATTTCCACAAGTATAAGGAAGGGGGAGAGACCATAACACACATTCTGGGGCGGGTACAATTTATAAACAATAGTATAGCCAGCTCTCTTGCTTACTGATGGCATTAAGAAAAAACACATCTTTTCACTTTCAGCCTATTTATATCTTTGAGACAAAAGTGAAACTGATGAAAATGTGTAGTTGGTTTTTTTTAATTCATTCTACCCATCTTGACATTTTGCTTTGAGGTTTTAGTCCACTTATATTTAAAGTACTGATAAAAAGTTTAACAAAAATGTTTCCCAGCACAACTGTGTGGATTACAGTCTTCATGTTGTGCCAGTGTTAATCACTCTCCTTTTCTAATATCCTCTACCACGATCTACATACATTCTTTTTCTTGGTTCCACTTGCTTTCTATTAGCATGAGTCCTTTTCAAAATTCTGACACAATTTATTCTGACCATTTCTGTGTGATTTTGTTGACAGTGAAGAGTGTAGAGCTTTTTAATCTATCTTGCTGAAATACTACTTTCCCCCTTTTGTGGCATGTGACTGACTTTTCTATACAATATGACTCCTGAACCCTTGTCACATCCACCTTTTTACCTGTACACCTCACTTATTCCTCATCATTGTCCCCCAACATGTTAGGTACCCTTATATTGATTCCAATTTGGCAGCCATGCATAACAGTAGAACTGCCCCACAGTACTGTGATCTGTACAGGAGCAGATTGCCACGTCTTTCCTCCATGAAGCTACTGGGTAGGTTCAAACCAACAACTTTTGGCTAGCAGCCAGCACTTAACGGTTGCACCACCAAGACAGGTTTTCCCAACATTGGCTCGCACCTCCTTTGTTAGGAAGAGTGCACATGTCCCTCACAGTTGTTGACTATCAGTTACAGTTGAATTTCCATGTGCCTGGCCACATCTTCATCCTATATACATGTTGCCAGCAGACGGGGGAGGAGACATGACACTGGAGACCTTGCCTCTCCTCCCTGTGCTGTGTCTCTCAATGTATAGATAAATTCTTTGACTTTAGGGGCCCAGGAAGGAGCACAACCAAAAGGTTGTTAATTGGAACTCACCTTAGCAGCTCAGCTGAGGAGAGGCCTGGTGATGTATTGTAAAGATTACAACCTAGAAAATCCTATGTGGCCGTTATAATCTGTCACCTGGGTTATTTATTAGGTGTTGAAATCTTAGGGTGGTTAATGTGTCGAATTCCTACTCCATGGTACCCAGCAACAACAAATGCCAGCACTGAAAAGCAGTCCTTTCTCAACCTGCCCCAGCTCCCTTATCTTCAGAAACGTGCCTTGATATGTCAGGCACAAATTTGTATTGGAATTCTATTTGCAACTGAGTCAACATAATCTCATCAGCATTTCTCTGCTTTCAGGTTGAGCATGGAAAGGGTGCTGAAGAGTCATCTTCTGAGCAGTGCTTTCTGTGCATGGACTGCCATATCAGAACTCTCCAGACAAGCCCATCAGTTCTGAAGATAGCTCTGTGAGTGAAGTGTGTCCCTCACTTGAAAAACAGTTGGCACCTCCTCAGTGCCAAGCAACCTACCCCGGACAGAAACTGTTCTTAGGTGGAGTGTGCACAAGCTACTCCTGGTTCAGTGAAAACGTCTTTGGTTTTTAAAAAAAAAAAGGGACAGAGAAACTCAGTCTGGGGTACTTGGCAGGACCTCATCTGTGAAGAGTTGTATATTTCATGTATCAGGAACAGACAGCTGTGAGCAGGTTGGGATGGACTTTCCGGCTACCTCGGGGTTGCTCCCGCACCAGGCTGTGCCCAGCAGTGAGAAACCACACAGTGGCATCGAGTGTGGGGAGACCTTCCATGGTGAAAGCAGTCAGTATCAGTGGGGTGAATGTGAGAGCACCTTCAACCACGAGCACACACTTATCCAGCCCCAGAATTTCTGTGCTGGAAAGGCACTTTATAAATGTCATAAGTGTGGGCAAGCGGCCGTCAGCTGCAAGTGTGGGCGAGGTAAGCGGCAGCGAACTGGCTCTCAAGAAAGGCCTTATGAGTGTGGTATATGTGGGCAGTTCTTTGGCCAGATCTCCATCCTTGTCAAACACCAAATAACTCACAGTGCAGAAAGGCCTTATGAGTGTAGCGAATGTGGGAAGACCTTTAAGCGTACTGCTGAACTCATCAGGCACTGGAGAATTCACACAGGAGAAAAACCTTACGAGTGCAGTGAGTGTGGGAAATCTTACACTCGAAGCTCCAACCTCGTTGAACACCAGAGGAGTCACACTGGAGAAATAGGTTATGCACGTTACACATGTGGCATATGTGGAAAATCCTTTAAACAGAGCTCCAAACTCACTCTACACAAGAGGGTTCACACAGGAGAAAGGCCATATGAGTGTGATCAGTGTGGCAAGTGCTTTAGCCAAATCTCCAACCTCATGCAACACCAGAGTGTTCACACCGGAGAAAGACCATATGATTGTGCAGAGTGTGGGAGATCCTTCAGCCGGAGGTCCAACTTCATCGAACACCAGAAGGTTCACACAGGAGAAAGGCCTTACGAGTGTGGTGAGTGTGGGAAATTCTTTAGCCGAAGCTCCATTCTTAGTGAACACCAGAGGGTTCACACAGAAGAGAGGCCTTATGAGTGTGGAGAGTGTGGGAAAGCCTACAGACGAGTCTCCAGCCTCATTGAACACCAGAGGGTTCACACAGGAGAGCGACCTTATGAGTGTAGTGATTGTGGGAAATCGTTCATCCGAAACTCCACCCTCACTCGGCACCGGAGAGTCCACACTGGGGAGTTCAGTGGAGAGTTTGCTGGAGATTACACTGAAGAGTTCACTGATGAATTCGCTGGAGACTTCTTGGAAAATGCACTATGAATGCTGTAAAAGCAAATTCTTTAGCCAGTTCTCCAACGTCATCACCAAAAACTTCATACCAGAAAGAGGCCTTATGAGTGTAGCAAATGTGGGGAAGCCTTCAGCCCCAAGAAGTGCACCCAGGAGAAAGACTTCAGACCTAAGGGAGTGTGCTGTGTCCTTCAGTGGCCCCAAGATAGACTTTATATGGCATGAAGTCAAACTCTCTGTGCCTGAAACCTACAGCTGGGACATTTGCTGAGGTGTTCAGATGCATGAAACTTTCAGGAGCTGCACTGCACATTCTAACTGGCCTAAGCCCTTGCCAGAATTCTGTCACTGCCAGTTTATATGGCAGAAGCCATCATAACCACCACCAAGCAGGCCTGTGCATCATTCATCCCCGTCCTCAGGATTGGCAGGTGTCAGCCCGCTCAATCTTGCCTTCCCTGAAGGGAAGTCATGAGGAATCTGAACCTTCAGGACATGGTCTTCACCTGGCTTTGGACAAGAGCACCCAGTCTGGGTTCTGCCAGCAGCTCCCTCGAAAGGTTCACCTTCATGCCATTGTTGATTAGTCTCCTGGGATGTTCCTGATTTACTTTTCCAGCCAAGTCACCAACCAAGAAATGCTTCCCATCCATTGCTCTGGTTTGTGTACTGATAAAGGCCTTATTACTTCAGCCACCTTTGATGTTGGGGGCTTCTGTTGGATGTAGTGTAGCTTAAAAACAGACTCTGTTAGTAGGTGTAGATGAACAGCTTTGTTCTGTGCCCACATACTCGTGTTTCCCATCACAGACTTAATGTGTGATGGTAGAGAGTAGTTCCGCCTCCAGTTGGGGCCTGTTGGGCTTCAAAAAGACTGGGACCTTGTGATCCTAGTTTGTGCCCAGGATACCAGGATTTATCACAACCCCCCCC